TTAACTTGTGGTATATGTGGCTTAACGTATATAGGACAAAACATCTAACATCGTTACATCTAACGATTAATTTATATAAATCTCAAAGTACTAAAGGTTTCCTAATTCCATTGAAATAGACCATTTTAATAAATATTCATTTGCTAATGGTAAAGTTAATATCTTAAAAAGTATGTAATGTTAACTTAAAAAGATAATTTTATTTTGAAACAAACAAACTTTATACTTATGGTTTAAACGGAGATTTTCCAAGATAGAAAAGTGCAGAATCTTTAAGTAAGAATTCTTGTATTAGCCGTTTATTTCAGATTAATATTTATAAGATTAAATAAAATAAAAGAGAGATGAACGTAAGAATACAAAAATCGATTAATTTTGAGAACTTGTAGATTCTGGTTTGACAAATTTGTTAATATTTTGAAATCTACAATAAAACAATTATTTTAATTAAATATTACAAAACTCAAATATCTGTCAAAATATATATATTAAATCTTGAATTTAAATACATTCATATTAACGATTTAAGTACAAATTTAATTAAATTCCGATTAAAATGAGATCTATTCCCAGAAAATAATAAAAAAGAAATACCTTATATGGTGATAGATTTTAAACATAAACTATATAATGATTTATCTTTACCATACTTATTTAACAAAAGTGTTCAAGAAGAAATATTTCCCATTAAATGATTACAACCTACAGTTATTTTTAAATACAATAAAGGAATAGGACCTCTCATTCCTAATTACAAAAAATTATTCAAGAACTTAATCACAAAGACATCGATAATTTACTTTGTAACTGTATCAATAGTGATTTTACATATTCTATTTATAATCATATTGCTATTGTTAATTTAGAGATTATTAAAGATAAGGCCTTAAAAATAATTTGAGAAAAGGGTATTAAATCTAGAATTTTAAGACAAAAATAGAAATATTAAAAAGATATTGGTAATTATATTTTTAAAATTATAAAAAATCTTATTATCCTCCGTGTTTCTTTTTTTGAATGGAAATGATTTTTATTAATTCTATAAAACCAGTTAAAACATTGAATTTATCTATATATAACATATATACATTTCTTTATATATATATTTTACAAAATAAAATTAGAAAAATCAAGAACAATGTATTATTATTCGTACAGATATAGCAAGTTGTAGTTTTGATTTTGTATGAAAAAATTATATGCACAAATTTTAATTAATGAAATTAATACAACTAAATATTTTCTAAAGTACATTAAATAAACATACTAACACTAATTTGAAGAAAGCCATAAAAAACGGAATACAAATATAGACTCCACATGTATTAGTTCACCATGCATGTTTGTAGGCAATTTTGAAATTGCATAAAACGCCTGTTAAGTTTAGGTTCATTACAAACTCTTTAAACACCATTAATAAATCTATTGTATCTATTGTACGTAATAACATTCTAGAGTCCCCCCCCCCCAGTAGCACAGTGGTATGTCTGCGGACTTACAACGCTAGAAACCGTGGTGGGCAGAGCACAGATAGAACATTGTGTAGCTTTGTGCTTAACTTCAAACAATAAACAATAATAACATTCTAGATCTTTTATTTGAAAACAAAATACTGTCATTAAACGATTTTAATCATTATTTTTTGATCATTAAAGATAATATTCCAGTTCTGGAAGGTTTAGCTAATTTAAATTCTTTAAAGCAGCTAATTTTATTACTACTTATGACTTTACTCCATTATATACCTAAATAGATTCGAAAGCTTTAATTAAAGTTTTTAATGATATAAATGATTAATTTATAGATACTGAAATACTTAATCCTATATTTAAATTTACTAAATATCAATGTAAAAATATACCAATTACTATATACATAATAGTTACATCATCTTTAATGAAAAAGTATTCAAACAAATAGTGAGTATTCCATTGGGAGCTAGTTTCTCAACAAATGTGGTTAACCTTATCTGCACTTCTATGAGACATTATTTACATCCTTACATTCATGATCTAATCTCTAACAACAAGCTAAACTTTAATCCAAATTAAATATATTCACAGGAACTTACATAAAAAGAAGTAATAATAGTAATAATAAAATAAATACAGTTAACTATTTTTGACAAAGGATGGAATTTTGGTGTTTCCACCCTTTGTTTACCCACCCCAAACAGTGTAATTCCATTTCTACTATTAAAACGAATTGTTATTTTGCAATTTAAAAAATATATATTTGGCAGTTTGTAACAATATTAACTCCTTTATGGATGATTTTCAATTATTAAATAAATTTAAAAATAATGGTTATAAAGATTGGCAAATTAAAATATTTTACATTCTTTTATAATAAATATAATAATATATTTAATTTTTTTATTATTATTGCTGAAATTAATTACTTAAGGCCATTCTTTATAAACAATATAATATACTTTTTATTTTTTCTTAAATATACCAGGACGCCAACACCAACTTCAGGTAGATTAGATTATCTCGGTTTATACATAAACAATCTATTTTTTAAAGGAAGGGAGGAGGTGGGAGCTTAAGTAATTATTACGGGGTTTTAGTTCTATTTAACACAGTTGAACATAATTTTATAATAATTATTAAAATGGTGGAGGTTGTGAGTCTTACAAAATTAGCTCCCAGTGGCACAGCGGTATGTCTGCGGACTTATTTTGCTAGAAAGCGGGTTTCGATACCTGTGACGGGTAGAGCACAGATAGCCCTTTTTGTAGCTTTGTGCTTAAGAACAACAACTACTTATCAAATTAGAAATAGGGTGGTTTATTTCTACTACAAGATCGTTTTTATATCTAAATGTTGCCTTTTTAAGATAATTTAACATCATTTGGTAATACTCCTTGAAAAGGGTGTAAGTCGGGAGTCTAAAAATTCTAAAAATATAGGATGGTTTAGTTCTACTACAAAGCGTTTCTTTGTAAAGATTGAGGGTGACTGTCTTTTCACAATTGGTTGCAGAGAGCGAAAGGCAGAAGAAGTTGAGACGTTGTGGATTTAAGCATTCAATTCCTAATCCCTAATTGATTCTCCATGGCTGCTAACTAGTTCGTCATCTGCGTTTGGAGTTATGACCACAGACATTTTCTATTATGATATAATGGTAATGACAAGGACTAGTAATAGACGAATTGTTTTCAGTCTCAATGTGAACATTTTGGCTTTGATATATATAGTAGACTTACATAACTTTGTCTCTGTTTTGACTCTAAAATTAATTACAGAGCTGAAAGCGTTCTATGTTGGTTATGAATCATTACTAGTTGTCAAAGAAGACATCCAGATATTTCACTTATATGGATAGCTATTGAATGAATGAAACCCAACCAATCACAACAGGTTGTTGTGAGTTAGCAAACAATGTGCCAACGTGTCATAAGCATAACCAGGAACCGCTTGTAAGCCACTATGTAAGCCACTTGAGAACCCACAAAAGGAAGACCATCATCCAGAACCCAAGCAGACATTTTGTATCTGTCAACCACTATTGTAGGATACCTGTTTCGAGACTGAATCTAATGTTTGCAGCTACAACTAGAAACCACCTCATTTTACAGAACGTTAGAAACAGGCATAAAATAAGCCTGTATGGTAGACCTTAAATGATATGCTCTCCATTCAAAGCAAAGCTCAAACAGCTCACCTGCTATTATTCCAGCAACACGTCTATTACATGCTATATAGAGCAATATGTCCCCTGTAGCCAGGTAATAAGTGTATACTTGAACGTAAAACGTGGCAGTGATGGAAGTATGGCGTGGGCAAGAATAAACTTTAGTGAATGTACCAATTACAAATTATTGAATGGCTTCATTCATCACACCCATTATAGGGAACATATCTTATTTCTCTTTGTAATTACACATCCTGGTGCTTCAGCCTAGTGGAGAAGCACGCCGGACTTTAATCCCATCGATTTTGTATAGGGTGCTCTTGAGAGATGCATCTTCTTAAGTGATTCCAAACACTAAAGATGGCCTGGAAAGAAATTCTTCAAGTTGAAGATGCTCCAGGGCTTTGTCAACTCTGATTTTAAGCATTGCCACCTCGATGCAAGAAAGACTCTATTATTAAACTAAATAATATTAGCTGTGTTCGTGTAAAATTGTTCCTATCAAATGTTAACTTACAATCGTAGGCTGAATAACCAGTTACTTGCGTTTCAGATTACAAGACAATCATCAGAAGCTAGGCCAACGCAGGTTGACCCTTTGGGAGAGCTCTAGACGTTTGAGGTGGTGAATAGGAATTGAATTTATTTCATAACAGTAGTTTTGGCTTTATACAATTAAGCTACTATAAATTCCATTAATCTTATATATATATATAGTGTAGAAGAGTTACACGTGTCTTACAAATATGGGTGCTAGGCTATGACATGGTAGTTTACAAATGATCCAGACAAAAAATTAGAACTTTTGGTGATGAAAATATTGAGAATATTATTTTTCTTACTTATTCTCATTCACTGCTGTTAGAGATTTGTTATAGTGGTTGCATATAAATGGAGATATGTTTTGTTGTCCGTTAAAGATATAGATGTTAAATTCAAATCTATTTATGAACAGTAATACGTGGCCTTTGGTTGAAAGTTGATCCATTATTCATGGTGTTCGTTTTGCGAAGCTCAATAAGGGTCGTTTTTCTTAATCCCTATTATAGATATATAATTAAATATATTTTAGAGTTTGAATAATTCAATGGGAGAGAGCAAAGAAAAAGACAAACACTTGCCTAATATGTTTTCAGCGGTATTAATGAAGCAAAATAAGCCACTGGATGGTTCTAACATCAACTGTACTTCGATGTCAACCACTATCAACACAGATTTATGTTGAATTTTTAATCCCCATATCTGTTATGGGCCTACTGGCTTTTTATGGTAAGATGACGGATATTATAGTCAGTAAGAAAAGAAAATAGAAGATGACATTATTTTAACTCATGATAAATATCTATTTCCCTGTCTTCTAGGTTCGGACAATAGCCATGATCAACAAGCTGGTCCTTCAAAGAAAACTAAGAAAAAACGGGGACATATAAACGATGACGAAGCCCCATTGAAAAGATTGGCTCGAGAGTTACCTAGATTTAACTGGCTTGAAGACAAAATAAAAAACAGTTCCCAAACCTCTTCTGTTCAACTAGTAAAGGAGACAAGAACGGAAAAATCAGTGATAACTATGGATAATGGCCCTATACTCAAAAACAAAGTCATCAACAACAGCCAATTTGATGAAAGCATAATTGGAGCAGCACAAAATCAAACTTTATATGAAAAAACATGCGATATAACCGAGTCTACCGATTGCATTTTTCCAGGACAAAACAATTTTGAGAAAACTGTGGAAATAGGTTGAAAATGGTAGTGATTGTAAAGACAAAAACACACGAGGACAGTGGCAAACTTTTTATAAAGAAATGGATGTTCTTCCACAAACAGGCTCTGAAAAAGGAAGTAGAAATCTATCAGTCAATCAGCTGCTGCCTCATGACCTTTCTGACCAACCAGTTCCATCTGATCATCAGAAACATGAAAAATCAATGATCTCTCCTCCTCCTTCATTATATCGTCATCTACGAAGTCCTGTGTCAAAGGTAGAGTTTATAATATCATTATACAAGTTAAATGATATAAGTTTCAGCTTAGAAGATGTACGTTTAATCCATGTTCAGGTTATATCATTGATGAAACAATTACCTGAAATATTCTAAGATAATAATTTAAAATGTCATACTTCCCTAGGTTCAGCAGGAGCTGACAATGGATTCAATGGACCCTACAAACTCAAACAATTTGGATAAAGTATTTACAAAGTATGTACAGTTATGTTTAAAGTTTATTTTTAGAGTCTATCTGTTTCTTATTGATGTTTAAATATTTATTACTGCTCCTTTTTTATCTATTGCCATATCACAGTCAATAAAGGATTGTAACGATATTTAGAAAATATAAGCTATTTGAACAAGCTTTTCTTGGCAGTCTACATATACATTGGTAGTGTAAGCACAAACATTCTGACTTGCTACACCATACTATAATTATTTTGTAACTCAAAATGCTATTCCATACTGGTTTTTGTCAGTTCATGATGAGACTCGGGAAACAGTGGTACTGTGATTTGAGGCTAGATTGCAAACATTGAAACCAAATAGCATTAAACACATTTCTTATTATCTGTAAAGCAGTTCGTGATAGATTTAAATGAAGCTAACAATGTGAAATTTTCCGAAGGATTGCGTAGCCTATCAAAATATATTGAGTGTGTTGCTAACTTCCTCTCAGCTTTCTACATGAAACTATTGTCCACAAAAATTGCTCAGAAAATGTGGCTTATTGTTAACACGTCTATCGTGTCCAATAAAACACTAACGATTAGCATAGTTAGTTGTTTCTAATTTCTATTATTTTGGACTACCAGGTCATCTTTATGATAAGGGCATTTTAAGTTCTCCCAATATCTGTCATGCTGTTTATGATTACAGTCAACGAGCTCACACTGGGACGAGGAATCAAAGCGCTAAATATTAATTCAACTCTGAGATTCTTAGGAATGACATATTTTAGTAAAAAACTTAGTAACTTGAGTATGTTTACACGATAAGACAGTAAGACAACACCCATAGGTTTAATGAGGCCAAACTTCTATCTCAAATGCGGTAATTTAACACCAATCAGTATTCATCATGATAACATCGGGACCTTTTATTATTTGTTGTTATAGTTTTTACATTAGAAAAACATAATGAAATTGGCTTTGAAAGAATTAATGTATAATCATCAGTAATGGGCGTCTTGGCATATAATGAACAATATTTACCCCGAACTTATAATAAGGTCATGAGGAATATAGATCGCTAGAGAGGAAAACACTTTCAGTATACATGTATATATAAACCAAAACCAAGATACCGAAAAACTTATTGTATAGGACCCAAAATAAAACAACCGATGAGACTAGATGAGTGTCTCAAACACTCGTCAATTATTTTTCTTTTATCCTATACAGTAAGTTAGTCGGTATTTCATTGTATTTTTGAGACTAGCAACAGTCTCATTTTTAGAATTGTGAACAATAATATTTCGTTGTTTATTGAAAATGAGATTTTGACTTTGAGCATTTACACAAACGCCTAGTGAATATGACTATTAATAAAGCCAAGATGTTTAGCGTGAATTCAAAACAAACCATCAATCATGACAATGTACAAAAGGTATAATTTTTAAAGGAAAATATCTGCGATCATAGCACCCAAAAGGGTTGTGGGATATTCCATCTACCAGACATAATAAAAAAAAAAGGAAATGAATAACGAGATAGTTGTTATGGAAGATCAATTAGGGATTAAGTGTTGGGTGCTTTAACCCACAACGTCCCGAAACCTTTTATAATTTATCGACTGGAGTCAATTGTGGGCATGGCAGTCACCCTAAAAGGGTTGAGATTAAGAGCCACCCTTAATTTCTATCCTTATTAAATACACAGAATTTAATGTTAGTATTTATAGAATTCAAAAGTCCTTGAAATACCGATGTCCTACTTAATAGAAATAAAATAGAAATAAAGATAACCATTTCTTTGATAAATTTATGTTTTTTTAATAATTTACAGTATTTATTACAAACAATGTAAAAAAAACTTTAATAATTCTTCAAATTTTTGAAACCATTAATTTTTTATTTATGTAGGCAGAACAAGAATGGGAAAGTTAAGTTTTCGCCTTTTATAAAAAAAAATGGTAAATTGCACTCTGCCTTCTATGAAAATAAAGTCTAAATCTGAATAACATGCTCTAAGATTACCATTGTTACTTCTCTCTAGTACAAGTTATTTAGATTAGATTTAAGCAAGATCAAATTTTAATTATTAATTGAACTTAAATCATTAATATAACGGAATGTAAAAGCGTATAAACTAGGTTTTGCTGTTTGTTCCAAAAAAAGTATTTTCATAAAAGTTCAGATACAAATGAATCATGTTTCAGTAAAAATTGGCTCCCATAGGGTCCTGATTACCTGTTTAAATACCTGTTCGCCAAAAATAATGTGATTATTAAATATACAAAAATATATATTTTTTTGCATTGATTTTTAGTGAACTTGTACTTAGAAATTATTGTACCTATGCCTGAAAAATGGTCAATTAAACTATTAAAGACTCTAACCATATCTTTGATTCTATTTTGGCATATCTTGTGGAATTTAAAATAGTTAAACATTCCAAAACTTGTATGTTATGTTTAGTAATCCAGAAAACATGATCCGAAACATTGTCTGACAATAATTTTATTTTAGTGGCTAAAACATTTAGAACTTTATTAAGTATTTTTTGTAATAAAACTAAATTTATTGACGTTTTGTGTACTTTCAGAATTGCATACAAACATGGTAAATTGGCTTTTTTTAAATTATTTGTCTCGTTATTCATTTGGGTTTTTTAGATTATGGTAGACGAAATATCTACAACGCGTTTGGATGCTATAATGACAAACATTTTCCCTTAAATATTATACCGTTGTTTTATTTTGACAAATGTTTTGATTTATGAAATTCATAAAGTTGAAATTTGTTACGATTAATGGCTTGTTTTGGATTTACACTTAGTTTAAGTTTTTAAATCATTTTTTTAATCATTGTTATATAGTGCTGATTTTACCGTCTCTATACAATTGATACTATTTACAGCATTAGACCTGTTTAATTTGCTTATATGTGAATATAAATGTATTACCTCCAAAAATTCAGTTGATAGATTCATGCAATTCGTGACTCGAACCACTATTCAGACACTTGGTTTCGGGTTATTTTAAGTATTAGAAAACAAATACTTGATTTCCAACAAAAGCTACTTAAATATTTTTTGAGGTTTTCAGAAATCAAGGCTCGTTATTCACATGAAACGTATTTATTTTTAACTGTATCTGTGTATAACAACATATATCTATATCGACAAGGTAGATTCAATATAACATTGTTTTCCCGTTTCCGATGCAAATATCAAGTCCTTATATAGCTACGTCAAACTTATCCTTGATAATCTAGAACCAAAGATTACTCACATTGGAAAAGGATTTTACTAACAGCGGATTATGCTTTAATAAAACAAACATATTCTGCATAAGATCTGAGAGATTAAGGATCAAATATCACCACAATATAATTAGTAACTACTTTCTCGTAAAAGAAACTGTCAAGAATAAAACTTTAAAATCGCCGTACTAAATAGTACAAACTTCTTACTAGGCTAACGTTACAGCAATATACGCTTTTGTGGAGGGGGGGGGGGGTATTTCAACTAAATAGTAATTCTATTAAAATAACTTACTTACATTTTTACCCTATTTGTGATATATATATATATGTATACATATTATGTAATTTAATATTTGAATATAAATATATAAACTCCAACATTAAGTAAGATCCAAAGAATTCATGACTTGAACTATGTACGTTTTAGCCACTTGGTGTCGAGCTATGTTAAGTTTCAGAAGAAAAAAAAGGGTATTTAATTTCATAACAAAATTCACTTAAATATGTTTCTATCCCATGTATGTTTGCATTTTAAAAGGCAATTAATGGATAGCAGGTTTTGTTGAAATAACACAGGCCTGCGATGGTTTTACTGTTTATCAATTTTTACATGTTCTACAGTAACTCCTATACACTGAATCTGAAAATGATATCCATTTTTCTCCACCATGTACAGATTTATCACAAAACGTCGTAACACAATACATAAAAGAAAGACCACAACACATAGTTATGAGACTAAAAGACGTAGATTTCACACACACACAGACAAATCAGGATGACTGGGGATGTATATTCATTTGACATCAATGTTCTTCCCTTTTCTTCATTTTGTTTGTATTTTTGTTAACAAACGTAATAAGAAAAAAATGTTTATTGTGGTAAACGAAATAATAATTTGATCTAAGTAAGAGCATTTTTTTTCTTCCCGATTTGTAAAAAATCCTTACGTGGTAGAAAAAATAAATATTATTTTCGAAATCTGCGTAGCAGAATTATGGAAAATTCGTTATTGAAACCAAAACCAGTTTTATGAACTTTAAATTCGCAAGCCTGTATTATTAGCCACTTATCTACCTCAGTATTTGTTCTGTTTCTCTTTATATAGAGTTTTATATGTTGTTTTGTCTTAGCTGTTTAACTGGTTACAGTTCGAGGGTGTTTGATGCATAATTTGTGGTTTCATACCACAAATCTACAAAGACAGCGAGTTTACTTCCAAATTCTACTGAGAAATTATACAGTAAAATCGTATGTGTTTGTTTAAGTGGTAACCATAGGATTCTAGAGCACACAGTCGAAACAAAAATCACTCTATCGCACTTGCTCAATCAAATCTTCCCAAAAGAGTTATCCATTGACGGCGAATTTATGTCAAAATAAGATAATCCACATACGAACCCACTAACCTCTTTTCTAGCTTTCTAAGTATCAACACACTACGATAACCCTTTCAAAGTTAGCTGAGAACTAAGAAGCAAGGCCACATTTTCTTTGATGGTTTATTGCTTCACCTGAAAATATTGCACAGGATATCCCATCACTTTGCATAACAATGATAGAAACACAGCAACACGGTGGCAAGAATAAAATTCCGACCAATACAAATGCTGTTCGATTGTTATTCTGCAACATTGTTAATTGAACAATGAGTTAATCGCTTTCCTGTATCTAAATGACCTATTATTGCTTTTGGCTTTACGTCTAGACCAACACTGCTGCAGATCTTATCTCAGAGTAGATCCTACTTTTTAGTTATTTTTTCATATTGTTCAAGGTACTATATTGATTCTCCGACAATAATCTGGAACACATTGTTTGTTCATTCTACAGGAAGTAGTACAAGGCCAGCTTTAAAACTACTATTGTTGATGGAGTATATAAATCATCAGCTAGGTATTGGACTAATTGTTTATTTACTGTATTTCTCGCAATTTAAACCTTTTGAGCAAATATATAATTATAATGTATCTAATATGGAAAGAAATTAAATAAAAATGTTACATTTAAGTTAAAGAAAATAACGAATAAGAATGCTGTTTATGCATTTTTTTTATAATTAGAACTAAAATTTCGAGATGAATCAAAGATATTTCATGGAAGAAATACTTAAAACCATTGAAGTAACATCAATGCACGTTGGAAATTACTCTGCTATGTAATTCCCGAAACTATCACAAAAAAAAATGCATAAACAGTATTCTTATTCGTTATTTTCTTTAACTTAAATGTAACATTTTTATTTAATTTCTTTCCATATTAGATACATTTATAGAAATGTTTTCTTCGTTTGTTTTTGTTCTTTTTTTTTTCGCCATTTCCTAGGTAGAGTAAGTTTTCACATGCTAAACTACCTAAAAAACATAATACTAAAGTTTCAGTCTATATGTGAGCAAACTTCTTAATCAAATCATCCTTTTCTATCTGTCCATATTCAATATCAAGTTTAAACAAAGGAGCGAATTTTTTTTTTTTTATTAAGGTAGCAAGTTTTTGGTATTGGCCAATCATGCTCATATGCAAAAGTTTTTCGTGATGCACATATGTGTAGATACTAGACAAACGACTAGCATTAAAGAACCTACATGCATAAATGAAACATCCCAAAAAATGAAAGTCAAAGACGATTTATCAAAGAAAATAACCTAATTTTTCACCAGAAATAATTAATCAAGACTTAGCAATATAGTAAAAATTGTTATTGTAATATGAAATTTCCGAACAAAACAAAACATTTCGAAGTTAACCGTATACACATTTTAATAAAGCCTTTCAGTATTCACTTCAATTTTATAGTTGTTTACATACATAAAGATACGGTTTTCCTTGCTGTATTTATTACCTATTACATGTTTTATCTCTTCCAAATATATAGATATATATATGAGAGATAGTAAATAAAATTACTTTGACGAAATGCAGTTTTTAAGTATAATTAGTAGGTTAGTAAGCATTACTAGGTGTCTATTATTGCACGTATTTGACTTAAAGTATCATATGATGATAGTATTGATAACGACAGGAAGAAGAGACACAGAAAAAAACGATTAACATGAATTTTGTATCGTGACACAACACTATGTGTGTTTCCTGTACTTATTAATTTCTTCTCAGCATAAGTCAAACCTTATTTTAAAAAAGCTATGAAATTCTTCTTATTGGCCGAATTGTATTTATTTTGAGCTAATTTACAAGACAGTGTATCTTTTATAAATTACGAGTTTCAGTCATTACATTACCACTTCAATCTCTGTACCATGCTAATGGAAATCTCTCATTTAATTCTATTTTTAATTGCTACACTGCTTAAACGATATATTAACCAAAAAATACAACATTAAATTAAGAGTGTATTAGTCAAAATTTATATTCAAGTGTCTTCCTGACTTAGGAAATTTATATTCAAGTATCTTCCTGACTTAGCAAATTTATATTGAAGTATTTTTGTCACTTAGGAACGCTAAGGATAATTCTCAAGCGATTGTTTCAACCTTAGACCAAGATCTTCAGCAAATAACACCCTCTGTACATAAAGGTAATGTTTTTGTTTTTCGTTCTAAACATTATTTTGCAAGAGTATAATATTTTGACCACGACCTGTTTCGGAATCTATGTGCTTTACCTTTTTTTTCTTTTTTTTAATAATAATCAACGATCTTAAAAGAAAGTTACAGCAAATAGTATAAATGTAATATATGATATAGTAAAACTTCTGACTCATTAATGACTTCTCAGTTATTATTTCTAAAACATCAGGAAAACTGTATTTTCTGAAATGTAAAGTACGTACACCCTAGATATCTAGAATGTTTTTGCCCTTCATCCTCGGCCTTCCTTTCTAGAGAAATCAACAAATTTACACCGTAAATGTGTAAATTATGACACCACTACATCATACTGCATGCTCCCAGTACAATTAACTACAATAAATCATAAAGTAAACTTGAACAGCATACTTATACTGGTGAAACTAAAAGCACATTCCAGTTTTTAATTGATTATTGATTATTTTAGGTGACAAGGTGTTTAACTTTCTTCTCTTTCTTCGGGGTGTAACTGGTGACCGGTCGTGGAGTAGTCTATTTTATTCCCTTTCGGAATCACGCCTTCTATTGTGTTACTGCTACAGTTCAAACTACAGTTACATCTTTCTAGGAAACGTTAAAATTTCATTCCTTACATGCTTTTGTAATCGCAGAATAGGTAAGCTAAGTCCTATAATGTGACAATTTTTAAGTGTCATCTCATTTGCAAATCATCACACTTTAAATGAAATGCAACAAGAAGTCAAGGCTTTTTATCTGTGAAGTCACGGGTCATGAAGATGGTCAAGGGAAGGTGATAGGAAATGTAGAAGTTGTTATCATAGTTTGGGAACAACTATCCGTATAGAAATATGTGTGTGTGTGCCCATTATAAAAACAAATATTACTAAGTTTAAGTTAAAATGAATATAAAAGTTCGACCACTTGGGTAATAGCTGCAAAAGGTGGTAAAATAAATAAACACAAAAGTTCGATCACTTGGGTAATAGCTGCAAAAGGTGTTAAAATAAATAAACACAAAAGTTCGACCACTTGGGTAATAGCTGCAAAAGGTGGTAAAATAAATAAACACAAAAGTTCGACCACTTGGGTAATAGCTGTAAAAGGTGGTAAAATAAATAAATACAAAAGTTCGACCACTTGGGTAATAGCTCCAAAAGGTGGTAAAATAAATAAACACAAAAGTTCGACCACTTGGGTAATAGCTCCAAAAGGTGTAACCTTGGAAGAGATAATTGCAACAATAGAAGTCAGTAGGAATTGGTTATATCTCCTCTATCCATTTAACTTCTAAAACCTTTAGAGAATAACTGTAATGCGGACTACTGAAGAACAATCATAATGAGGGGTAAGAACTTAGTACTTATAAACCTACAACGACGACCCAACGGACTTATCAGTTACAATCCGTGGGCTAGTTGTGGGTGTGGTAGTAATCCCACAATATTAATTAGAAAGTTCTAACATCCAAGTTATATTATGAATCTTATCTACATTTGTTTTCTAAATCAAAAAAACACTCTTCACCACCACTTAACGACAAATGTAATTCTGCAGTAGTATAACAGAATTATATAACCTTCCAATAACTTGATATTAAGAGCTATAACTTCCAAGTCACTCTACTTAAAAAAAACGAGATAAATTAGAACTGTATAATACCACTGGCGTTGTAGGGTTTAGACAGTATTTGGTAATACCACTGGTGTTGTAGGGTTTAGACGGCGGTTGGTAATACCACTGGTGTTGTAGGGTTTAGACGGTGGTTGGTAATACTACTGATGTTTTAAGGTTTATCATTACAGTGTTCTTTTATTTGACTACAGAGCCTTCTATTGGTTAATCTAATAAATTAGAAAATAGGAAGTTGGGATAAAATGTCGTTACTTATTTAATTCAGTAATTTGCAATAAATCTGCCAAGCTAGTCCTGCCAACTTCATCTGTTGAATATAAGTCTGGCTAAATGGGACGGCCCTGGATGCTTATTAATTTAGGCCTAGTTGCTTTTATCAACACTACGTGCTTCGTAATTGTAATGTTTAAAGATATTATATTACTGTATAAAGAAGGTGACCTTGACATGTTTATCGTGTTTGTTTTTTTATTTTGTTTTTTATGCTGGCATATATATATATTTTCTTCGTATATCTCTTCAACCAAACCAGATATATTGTGATTATAATGCTTATTAAAAACATATTTTGCATAAAACTAAAGTCTGGATGCTTAATGTTATAATTTATTTAAGTAACCAAAGTCGTTTGGAATTAATTTGTACTTTTATATTTAGTAGGTTACTCCTTCTCTTTGAAAACAAAAACAATAAAAAAACTAAAGATTATTGGGCTTGTAAGCTTTTTTATTAAGGTTGAGGTTGAATTTTATTTGAGCTTAGGTCGCCTCCTTTTACAATTACATAAGTTTTTAACCTAAAATCGTGAGTCAATCATACAGAAATTGCTATTTTGTTGTAGCAACTTTGAACAAGGGAAAATTCCCTAGGCCAGTTTTTCATTTAAAACTTTTGCATAAAATAACTGTTTGATCACAAAACGCGATGTAACTCCCATAATTTTGTTTTGGTGTTGGTGTAAACTCTTTCCAAAGCAAAGCTACTTTTGCTCAGGGCCATTCCATTTTTGACCTTGACCTGCACTGTAAGAATTACTTACAACATGTTCAAGACATCTAGGACACTCTGTGCACTTATTACAAACAAGAATAAATATATTTAATCTTCTTTTGTAAACATTAGTTGGTTGAGATATGATCAGTCATATTCAAGACTGTTAATCACTGAATGACCTAAGACAATGAAGGTGGTTACAATGAGAAGAACAAAGTATCCTTCTCCTTAAAAGTTATCTTGTACTATTTTCCTTGTAGTCTAACGTTCGTGGACGACCTCTCTTTCTTATCACTTTATATTCAGTAAGTATTCCCATGTTGACTGCATCTAGTGAGTTTGCATTGTATATAATCATCGGCGCTTTCATCCTTGTATTTACAACTGAGGCTAGAGCAAACGTGGCTTTCGGACATTCTGCAAGGTTGTTTATATTGGCTAGCGTAGCGTGAAAACATGTTCTCTGTAGGTAAAAGAAGATTTTCCTGCAATAAATGAGCCGATTGGGACAAAAGTTATATTTTTAGAAAGCTCAAATACTAAATTATCGTTGAAAGACAAGTTTTGTGATTTGCCAACTATTGTAATGATCAAAACAGTCACTAATTTCTGCACGACCGATTATCAATTAAAGGGTTAAAATGTTTTGAGGAATATTGCATTAGCTTATCGTCCACATAATTTTAATTCCCTGTCCCACCAATTGCCTAGTAATATCCTTTGTGTATTTTCATGGTAGTACTGAAAATGTTGCGCTACAGGATATTGACTTCAAGTTAAACAAAATCGAAGCATTTTCACGTCCAATTAGGCATAGGAATTTGGCATTTTTCATCGCAACCTCTTCCTTCCTCCCCAATTCGCACACTGCTGTTGTTTTTTAACAAATAATCTGAAGCAGTTGTGAACTCAATCTTCATTTTAAAAGTAATCGAGCACGTAATTTTAGTCATTTTTTGATTCTGACAGCGACTGACACATCGCTAATAGCCTCTGTTGATTGAAGGTCAAGTCCCAATAGTTGGTGGTGAGTAGTGTTGACTAGCCTCCTTCCCTCTAGTCTGTCACTTCAGAATTAGGGACGCGTAGCGCAGATAGCCTTTGAGTAGATTTTCAAAAACGTTTATACAAACATATTTTGAAATACGAGAAGTAACTGATATATTTTATTAGTAAAATACAAAGCTCCATTTCTACTGACCCATCACCGTTATAAGTACGTTCTTTCATAAGTTTGTTTTTGTTGTGTGTGTGATATTCGTGGCAAAGTTACACTAGGGCTAGCTATCTACACAAAACCGTCCCTAATTTTCAACTGATAAACTAGAGGAAGAGAGTTTGTCAACAGCATCTACTGCCACGACTAATCCGTTCTTCTTTAAAAGCTAAGAGACAGAGCAACTGTTTACTTTGAAGTCTAAACATGCAACGTTTAGGGACGATTTCTGGTGATTAACAATAGCCTTTGTAAATGATATTTTTGGGAACTACTCATAACTCTGAATAGAATATCCCACAGTAAATTGTATGAAAATCAAATGATCTTGTTTTAACATGAAAACTAATCAAAGGAGTATAGAAAGTGACATAATTTTTAATATTGTATGTACTTAGTTTTTATCTGTTTTTCACACATGGTTGAGAAAAAAAAAGACATATTCCGGATGTAAAACACCATGGCAATCGACCGAAATATGCGCTATATATCATAACCATGAATGTGACGTCAAGCCTTGCGAGATATTTTTGGTTTAGTTTAATTTTGCGCGAAGCTACTCAAAGGCTATCTGTGCTAGCCTTCCTTTTTTTAGAAGTGATAGACAAGATGAAATGCAGCTAGTCAACACCACCCACGGCCGCCAACTCTTGAGGTACTCGTTACCAACGAAAAGTGGGATTGACCAACACATTATAACACCCCCGCAGTTGAATGACCAAGCATGTTCGGTAACAGGATTCGAACCTAGAATTAGCTTATTTTGATTCAAGCGCTCTAACCACCAGGCTTTGCCAAGCCCCCTTGCGAGGTGCTTCTTTCGGCATAAGTAATTATTTTCAATTTGTAAATATTTATTTATTTCACTAAAGCATGTAACCGTGCCTCAGCAATTATAAGTTTAGTAAATGTATTTCAAATGAAAAATTTGGCTAATGTTATGATATTAGGTGTTTTCTTTTTTGTCATTTCTGGCTTAACATAGTAAATGATACTTGTACAAAACTTGCAACGCTATGGAAAAGTTCCTATACAAAACATTTTTTTTCATTGAGCAAGCATTATCTCGAGCTGAACTTCAAACGACCAAACAAACACACTTCGAACCTTTAATTTTTCGTCCTTGAAAATAAAATGCTTGTTAATTTTAATACGTTTTATCGTTTAATAAGATAAAGTATAAAAAAAAGAAATAGTGTATATCCTTACTCTTGTGTAGACGTAGCTAGCGTAGGTCATTAGTCCGTGTGACAACCTTATTCTTGTGCAGACGTAGCTAGCGTAGGTTATTAATTCTTGTGACAACCTTACTCTTGTGTAGACGTAGCTAGCGTAGGTTATTAGTTCGTGTGACAACCTTACTCTTGTGTAGACGTAGCTAATGTAGGTTATTAGTTCTTATGACAACCATACTCTTGTGTAGACGTAGCTAGCGTAGGTTATTAGTACTTGTGACAACCTTACTCTTGTGTAGACGTGGCTAGCGTAGGTTATTAGTTCGTGTGACAACCTTACTCTTGTGTAGACGTAGCTAGTGTAGGTTATTAGTTCTTATGACAACCTTACTCTTGTGTAGACGTAGCTAGTGTAGGTTATTAGTTGAGCTAAGTGTTTTACACAAATTCCAAAAGATTCTTTTTTTATTATTATTTATCAGTTATCATTCGATAAAATAAATGTGCCCAGTAATATACATTGTATTGTTGGTTATTTTCGTACATTGTGCTTTTAAAATAGCGAATTTTTTTCAAAGCGTATAATTGTAGGAGATGTGCTGAAAAAAAAATGCTATAAGTCACAATGAGATAAATTACCAGGCTACTTTAGTGAATATATGGTGATTGCAAGTAGAACATTTTGCATTGCGTCGATCGATCTTGGAAATGAACACTACAGATTTAACAACTTCAAAATGGAATAAATCTAATGGTTTCTTTTACGATTTTACAGATTCGGGGAGCAGTTCTTCCAAGTTTCGACCAATCCGACCTAAGATAGATCCCATTCTTATTACAAGAAAACCATTTTTCTCGTTCACAAACCCTACAGAAGCAGAGTATTACATTCCTAAATTAGCCCCCGAAGAATCCCATGGCTTCGAGAACTTACAAAAGAAAGGTTCAATGAGCATAGTGTGCTCGGTGCAAGACTCAGTTTTAGAACAAGGAGAAAGGGCCGATTCTCAGTTTGAATCAAAAGACAGCAGTTTAACAGAAGATAATACTTATGAAAGAGAAAGTCATAAATTGAGTTATTTACGGCTCGATCAACATGCTTCAAATACTAGTTCCCTAAGTCCTTCAAGTTTTAAGAGTATTATATCATTTCGGAGTCCAAATAAAATTGAAGGAACAGTCCCTACTGCAAATGATTTGACTGATTACAGTAATGAAAAAATAAAAAACGATACTAAGCTAGATCACACAGTTTCTCAAGATATAGTCTTGTCTTCAGAACGACTCGTGAAGACCACAGACCTCGATAGCCACTTATATCGAGATAATTCTCAAGGACATCTTGAGGAAGATATTTGCCCTTCAGTCACATACGATGTAGTAGCTCAGGGAAGTAGTAGAGGCTCTGTTGCTTTACAGCAAAATGAGCACACTGCTAGTCATGGTCTTGTTAACTCAAATGAATCCAAAACACCAATTACTAGTCATGATGATATTTCATTCAAAGAAACTATCTTCTCTGAATCTAAACAGAAAACAAATGAACAATCCAGTGGATTCCAAGTTACCAAATCTAGTCCCTTAACTCAGACTCTCGAATCAAAATCTAGTCCAAAAAATAACCAGTCTTGCAAAGAGCTTAGTACCCCAGTCGAAAGTCAAGGGAATAAACTGACTTGCCAACACACATCTAATCAGTATCGCTCAGAAGCAATGTCAGGATCACACTCTCGGCATATTAATGATTTTTCCCAGTCAAATGAGGAATTGAGTGCTTGCATTGAACAGCAACAGTTTAACGAACATTGGAATGTTCGTGATGGGAAGTCTAAAAATATTCGGAAGGGTTCAGATGTCCTTTTTGGACATACGGAGAAACAGGAAGATTCTGATGTTCTTTCTGAACATACGAAGAAACAGGAAGATTCTGATGTTCTTTCTGAACATACGAAGAAACAGGAAGATTCTGATGTCCTTTCTGGACATATGACTAAACAGGAAGATTCTGATATCCTTTCTGGACATATGACTAAACAGGAAGATTATGATGTCCTCTCTGGACATACGAAGAAACCGGAATATTCTGATGTCCCTTCTGGACATACGAAGAAACAGGAAGATTCTGTTGCACCGTTATTGCATCGAACGAGTAACATTACCAGCTTATCTCCAAAATTACCAAACATCTCTGCCCATTCTAATGAACTGAAATCACAAGCAACCCAGACATCTGATGAAAACATTAAAACTTTACCCATAAGCCCTAATACTAGTGTCGAAGAAATACAACACGTGATTAGTGACAATCAGGTTTCTAGAACTAATTCAATAAACACACCAGAGAAATTGGCGAATCAAAACTGGAAGCCTTTAGTGAATAACACTTATCATTTACGCAAAGAAATGTCAGGACATAAAGAAAATAATATTTACAAGCCACAGGCGTGTCGTTTACAAATGGATTCGCTTAATTCTTCTAATTCTGCAGGTTATTTATCACTAAAGAGAAAACGACTTTTAAATTATGCTATGGATAAAGAAAAAGAAATGTCAGAAAATCAAGAAGATGAAACAACTTTTGGTCTGGAGAAAATTGAAAATAGCACTGATGATGAAAGAAAATATGTACCTGAGAGTTCTCTCAAACATCAGTTGCATAGTGAAAAAATAGAAAACGCAATTGATGAAAACGAAATCCAGGTAATTTTTGAATGTGATAAAACCAAAATCATTCATCAACACAACAATGACCATTTTTCAAAATTGGCACCCTCAGATACGCAGCTTGCTTCACGCGAAATCGTTGAAAGAAAGACAGACAAAAGGGAAAATTCGCAAGATAAGTCAGTTATTTACGTTGGGAATTTACAGAATCAGAGTATTACCAAACTAACAGGAAACACTGATGAAGCAAAGGGAATTCTCATAACTGAACCTTCGGTTCAAAAACATAGAAATAAAACACGAAGTGTCAGTATGCTATCACAAACTGAGTTTGGGTTGGCGGAATCTCCAAATATTCCAGTAAACATTAATGATTCACTCAGAAGATCCACTTCGCCTTGCTTCTTCCTTAAAAAATATGAAACGAGTGCTGAGAAGAAGCAAAATGAATATTCACTTGTTACGGAAGAACGACATCCTTTTCGTACTTTGAAAGAAGAAATGCAAACTCGAAAAAAAGAACTTGTTATTTTAGATAATCTTGCCAAACAACGGGAAAAGGAGTACAAAGAATTGCTTCACACACGTAAAGAGAAATACAAGTTGCTTCATATGTTAGAACAGTGTTTCCCTAAACTGCTTGATTCGTCATCACAAATAGAACATGGAGACAATAAGCCTAATAAAAACGAGATCTTAAGTACAGATAAGTGTTCAAAGGAGACTCACCGTCCATTCGATAAAGTATTGGATCTTCACTCTGACAAAGCGCAAGAGAAATCAAAAAAATTAGATTTTAATACAGAGAGTTATTCCACGGAAACAAAATATGCTGTTTTTAATAAAGGTGGATCTATGAATCAGCACATCTCAGGCACAGATACCCGTAATGATTTAATAATTCCAAATGCCGTGGGAAGTAGTCAGGAATCAGATTCTGATAAAAGAGTAGTCAATGCTTCAAATCTCTCTTGGTCTATTCGGGATTTAAAAACAAACGGTGTTTACAGTCATACGTTACCTTCGGCCGCAGTCAACCCTTTGAACTCTAAACCAGTACCACTAATTCAAACATATGCTTCTACTGCGTCGCCTCAGTTGGTTCCTCCTGTCTCTAAAGGTAAAGACTTAAAGTTAGTAGAAAACAATTGCTTGAACGCCAGTAAATGGACACAACATGAGCAGATATCTAATGGAGAAAAAGGAAAAAACCCTATGGAAAAAAAGATAACTTCTCCAAGTGCTGTGGCCGCAGTAACGGGCAACTTACTTAATCTGGGTGCAAAACAATCACCTGTATCTAACTTAGATCACCAAGCATTTTACAGGAATCACATGACCTCACTTTCTAATTTGTATTCAACTTATCCGAGATTCCAGGACAACTTCATTGGAGAGCAAAAAAATACAAATTGTGAAGTGTGTGAGAGGATAACTGGTTGTCCTGCGGGTAAACACAATTCAGATGTGTGCTTTTCTAGAGGTTATGTACAACATCAAAACAGCATTAAACGACATGAACATACAAATGAAAAGAGAAGCCAGAAGCAAACTGTCTTTCCAACTGTCCGTCCAAACATGTTTCCACACCAGACTGCACTTAACCCTCTATTAGTTCCCCCACTGTCTGGTTTCGGTGGACTAAATGAACCTGTGCTTTCTTTTAAACAGGAGAATACAGGAAAAGTAAGAATGCCTCCTGAGAATCTTCATGGGTTAAATAATCAAAATTTTGTCACATCAAACCAGAACTTTGGATCGCGGATGCCAGTGGCAGAAGTAACCATGAAGAACTGCAGGAGTCCCGACATGTCATCTCTAACGCGAGTCAGGTCAATGATGAGTTCCAATCGCTCCAGAATGAATGTCCGTCCACTAATTCAACAGCTTCCTCATCAAGCTGTAGGGCATTATGGACACGTTTCAAGGATAACGAATCCACAAGCGCTGTCAACTGTAACTCCACTTCAAAGCGAATGGCCGCAACAGCAGATGATGGTTAATTATCCAGTTTCCCAGTCACTGGAATGCCTACCCAAAAATGCTAAGGTAAAGTAGAATGTTTAATTTTTTTTTTCAAATTTATAAATACATTCTGAAGCGTATTGCGAGAGTTAGAGTAAAAAGGAACGATCGCATAGTTTCCGCAACTTCAATTTGCTCTAAGAGTAAATGAATAAAACTGTTTTGTTTTCGTGACACGGTTCTTAATTTGAACGAGTACACAATATACACACACACGCAAACATATAGATCATGGGTTTTCTTTATCTAGGGCGGAAATATTCCTCCTAAACTCAATCTTTCCCTCCCCTAGATTTTTTGAGGATGTTATATCTAGATGATTACGTTTAGTATAAAAAAGCTAGGTAGCCTTTAAAATGTACCATTTTAAACATACCCACAAAATGTTGTTTGGTAATCTGATCATTATCATCATTATAGATATATTGCCTCTTCTGTACTCGAATGTTTCACGACACATCAGTCATAAAAAGTATTTTTCCATCCACAAAACATTGCGAAAGAAAACCGCTGTATATAGAAAAGTGGGTTTGATCAAGACTCCAAATAATATTTTATAAGGAAACCATTTTTTTTCCTAACCAGTTGATTGCATAGTAATTTCACCTTTCAGTAAAAATTTTAAAATCAAGTCTAACTAATAGTCGAATGAACACTTCTAAACAAAGGAAAGCCTAATGATATACTTATTTCACAGGAATATTGAATAGGACTAACTTCTGCATATTTGACATTAATTATGATAACAAATGTAACTGAACTTCTTAGGAGTATTTTTTGTTTGTTTGTTTTTGAATTTCGCGTAAAGCTACACGAGGGCTATCTGCGCTAGCCATCCCTAATTTAGCAGTGTAAGA